TTCATCTACGTGAGACACGCGATTAGGAAGAGGGTTGTTAGGGTTATCGTTAGATTTTTGATTGCGGCGATTATTATTAGTTATACGTAGTTCACAATCTTTAATGTCGTGTCCCGTGGCCTTGCAGTATCTGCAAAACGTTGACGATCCCGAGATATTAGGGGTGTTTTTATTATTCACGGTGAACGACGATTTTTTAGATTGTGAAGAGAAGTTATTAGAATTAGGTTTGTTGGACGACTTTTGATGGGGTTTAAATGTGCTGCTGGATTGTGCTTGGGAAGCATTTCTTTTGGCGAACTGACTATTCTGTATTTTCTCTTCAGACATAGCCAAATTTACAGCACTATTAAAGTTTTTAGGGTTACGGGCTCTGACCAAGTTTGAAATCCTCGGTAGTAGTCCCATGAGGAAATGATGTAAAGCAAGGTCCTCCATGGAGGCTATACGGCCAGGAATTTCTTTCTGTGGGTAATTAGCCAATGAGATCTCTGTGAGTAAGTGGAAAAGAGCAGTTTCGACTCGGAGGGAGAATTGACTTACCGTCTCGTGTGTGCCCTGTCTACTTTCTTGTAGTTCGGTTAATAGGTGTGTATAGTGTTTATGTTCACTGAATTGGGTTTTGAGAAATTCTTTTAATTGACACCAGTCGCTAAATTCCTTAATAGCACAGGTGGTTGCCGCTTTACCTTCTAAGGAGTTAATTATATATTTGAATAACATTGGTTTTTGGATGTCGGTAGCCAACTCCATGGCGTTTGTGCATTTAATAAGGAATGCATTTAGGTGTTCCCTACTCCCGTCGTATGGTTTAATGAATTTAAGTAAGGCATTGATATCCATTTCGAGGATTTTTGTCTTAGCCCTAGTAGTCCTAGAAGATGGTGATGGTTGTCGAGGTGCTTTACCTTTGGATTCTACGGATTCTTCAGACTTGTCGTAAGAGAACTCTTCGGTTTTAGCACTTAGCATAATTGCATTAAACTAGTCAAGGAAGCGAAGAGTTTCGCCAAATGTATTCAGGACTCTAATTCGATACGATAACAATGAAAAAGGTTTTGCATATATGCCAACGGAACTCTAAAAATAGAATTCAAAACAATGACCAAAGACTTACTGTATCGTTACTACTTGAGCAGCTGATAAGAGCGCGACGGCGACGGCGACGCTGACGGGGAACATTCCGAAGCACGATGTGTGGCGAATGACTGTCTCTCTCTCCGACAGGATATGTCGAAGGTCGAATTGAGTGGCTACCACTCAATGGAGAGACAGACAGGAGGTTTTAATGTATCCTTTAGTCACAGGACAAGGATAGGATTTTCACTTTACACAACACTGATTTTACTTCACAGGACACAGATTTTATTTTCACTTCACAGGTCACTGATATAGGATAATAGGCTCCCTTTGGACACTTTGTCTCAGGACTCGTAATATGGTTACGGAATTACGATTAGGAGTTTTCCAGGGTTTTACACGGGTAACACAGTGGGTGATAAGTTCACTTATCTGATTACACTTTTTGGGATGTTTCACGATTATTTGAGATCCGGCGCGAGTCTGCGGAACGGCACTGGATATTTCCGGATCCCACCGCTGCCACCAAAATGTTACGAGAGTCCTTTAGGATTTCTTTTTAAAAAAAACTAATTTTATATTAGAACTATTTTAATTAGTTAAAGGACTGAGTATACAACCGTACCGTTCGGAGATCTTGTCCAGACTGAGGGGTCTGGCATGCCACCTTACACGCTAAGATATAATAATGATGACGATGTAGTTTTATGTCATCCCAGCATAAACCCTTACATATCAGGGATATAACAGTACGCAGGTATAGAGTGGTGAGTGAAAGTACTTACTTTGAGATATTCTGGGTAATAGGTAACATACCGAGTGATATGAAGTGTGGCAGTTCATTAGTGTTAATGGTTCGGCTGACGTGTGTGCGAGCAGTTCTCTTGTATTGCCCAATAAGGTGCTGGAAGTTATCATCACGATCAGCTCCAGGAATGGCACATTGTTCGCGACCAGGTGCCACGCGGCGCGGCGCCCAGCCTGACGCCACGCTTGCGAATTAGTACAATATTTATGTAACACAATTTACAATAATATTATTTGTGTTATTTCATTTAGGTGCATCGGAATAATCAGCACCTTATAAGGGTAGGCTGGCATTAAATCCGCTAATGCACTGTTTGGGTGCATGAAGCATATTAATAAATAGTTAAACATTGACTCGTACCTGTGAACAATTTTCAATTAAATACTTTTTTGATCTTTAAAAAAGACTGAAACAGATGGTAATGTCAAAGTCAAAGTCTTTGACTTTCTAATGACGGTCTAATGACCAGGAAGGCACTTTTGAAAGTCACCAATAGAAATTTAAAAGTGAAGCTATTTGCTCATTCCAAGGTGTACATTCCTATGGAGAAGAACGAGCAAGAAACTCCATAGGTTACTCTTTTTCAATCAGGTTCACAATACAATTCTACAGTTACACAGTTTTATTGGTTCGATTGTGCAAGAACAATGTAACACCAAAATCCACTCAAAGAGATCGAAAAAGAAAATAACCTTAAAGACAATAAATAATGCAGTCTGGAGCTGACCAGTCCCAGTTGACGGCGCCCGTTCACGAACATGACACGTACACCAGCACCGCCCAACTCAACCATATTGTAGGGAATCGAGCGATCCACTGCACGCGCCACCGCCAATGAGATCTTTAAATGAACATGACAACTCCAAACTGACATAAATGCATTCTACTAGTCCAATTAATAATAAGTTAATTCCAGGGCTGTCACATTTACAATTATTACCTATCAATCATTATTTTTTTTTATACAAATCAAATACACACATGCAGTATGTTGGTACTAAAACAGACATACTAGAGCACTCTCGGTGGTATAAGCCCTGAAATATGTCTGTCGCAGCAATTCCTAATTATGAGACAATCATGTCTCTGCGCTATATCAAGTTAAACAAACAATATACATTTTAGCAACTAGGCTGTAATATTTACATGTTTGGATTTCATTGTTTTTCGTTATCCCGTAGAGCTGGACCAGCGTGCATCCAAGCAATGTAAATGTAAACATTAATCAGTTACCTATCATAGGTAGGTAACTGTTGAAAAGTTAGTATTTTAGGGGGGGGGGGCGAACTTGTCTTACCAATTTACCACATTTCATAAATCGAATACAGTTTAAGGTTCTGTGCGGAGATTAGGTTGAACCTGGGTGTCTTCGGGGCCAGAGTGAATAGGTTTCCCGTTTCTCATCACGAGTCGTACAAATACTCGCAGCAGTGTATAACATCGCATTATATCTGTATCAGTAAATAGATAGGTAGCACTTTCCAACAACACAATAACGAGTTTTATTTTTGAATATCTTCAGAAGAGATTTATGTGTTATTGAATTCAGATCGATATTTTTAGGTCACTCGCTTGATACCGAAACTGATACGAGGAAAACAAACAAAATAATACAAACGAGAACTTCATAAAAATTGTTTCCTTGTTGCCTTGTTGTCAATATAAAACGGGTCGGAGTAAAGGTGACAGCACACATTGATTCGATATCCGTCAGTCGGGTCGCTGCGTGGTGCGCGGCCTTCTGCCGCACTCAAAGAGAAGGAATTCACAATAGAAATATACCCACTTATGTGTATCTATGTTTCTCAACTGATCAGGTTTCGTTTCTGTTCTCACATTTGTGGGGGAGACATGGGTACCGAAGCAGTTGTACCGTAATTATTGGCTATACAACTTTGCCCATGTATTGGTTGAAAGCTTGAAACCTTGGTACAAGGTCCATGTTTCTGATCGATGTTGTTGGGGACATATTTTTATAGTCTTCAATGTTAGCTCTTCCGAGATTGGATGCGGAATCAATACATCAGATATGTTACATATCAAGTAACATAGAGTGCACTGTGCAGGTGTGCCCATATTACCATACCCGGCCTGGTTCCATTCATTACTCGCCGCTGCGCGTGCGCCACTGCGTTGGGAACCTGTGTGACACATCTCACGCGGACAACACTTCAGATGCTAATCTCTTGAAAATATGTTGCACAAAGTATTTGTTTAGATTCGTTTGCATTGCCTAAGGCTCAAACTAGACTCAATCCTTACCTTAATTGGCTGGCTTGGGTGAATATTTTCAAGAGTGTTAGTTGAAAGACACTCGGTAAGGATGTATGACTTCATCATGTTCCTGGGATTGCTCTAAAGCCGTGGGATGTCCTATGCTTCTCTTTCACTAAGCAGCTGAAAGTATGTCACACACTACTTATGCCAACGGCTGTTCCGGGGGCCTATTAATGGAATTTGGCAGTCGCCTCCTACCTATTTATCTGTATACTATTTGTCGTCATAATATTCCATACTTATCCAGTAAATACATTTTTCTATAGTCATCCACACCACTTGAATGCACTTCCGTAGTGCTCAAGTAGAGATGATTGACTGATTTCATCTTATATTCTTTATTGGGGCTCTAGAAGTCCACTGAATCCTTCTGGACTCCATGATCCTGTGAACAGAAACACCGACCAAGTGACGATGTAGTTCTTAAATACTGCTCGTGACGACACAACGAACTACACCGAACGTACCTCTCAAATATTTGGGAAATAAATGACTTTAATAAGTATTCAGCTTTGAGAACAACAACAGGCGTGAATATGATGGTTGTGTAACAAACAAATAGGACGACGGACGAGGCGACCACCTCAAGTCATTAGAATTTGTAATTTTGTGATCATCGCATCCCGACCGTTCTGTTTCGAAACTTTTCATAGTTTACATCATTTATGTCTTCTGTCTGCTGATACTAGGTAACTTACTGATTACTTTTCTGGACACCATTTTGGAAAGCTAACTAGTTGAATGACATCAACACGACCCTCCTATGAGGTGACGGAGGCTTTGTGCAGTAGTGGTGTCATCCGGCAGATGATGATGAAGTGGTTTGTTGTTGCAGCAAGTGACGTACTACGTAATCCGCACGGCGCTGCTGGTGTCGTGGTTCTGGGCGGCGTGTCTGACGTGCGCGCCCATCCTGGGGCTCGGCCTCTACTACGACGGCTCCAAGTGCGTGCGCTACAGGAACGCCGAGACTCCCACCGACCTCGCCTATGCCGTCTTCTACGTCACCTTCGGTCAGTCAAGCATAATATTATGAACTAGCGCTTACCTGCGAAATTGCCAGCTTTTTGTAAGAAATTGACTACCTAAAATTATCTACGAAACTACTCAGTTCAAAGTCTGAAAATCTTAATGAGGTGAGTTGCTTGCCTATAATGACTATAGAGGAGAACATATCGCTTCAAAAGTTATAAGCAAATTAAACAATCCACTACAGGTTCAATTCAAATGTAGATCCTAAACCCACTGATGTCTGTGTCTACTTAGGCACGGGGTTTGCCACAATGTCTACAACACAATATGTGCTCAGTTTGATTAGTTGGCATATGTGTGTGTGTGGCAGGCACGGTGCTGTGCCTGGTGCTGGTGTACTGCAACCTGGCGGTGATCCGCGCGCTGTACGCCATCACGGCGCCGCGCGGCTCGCAGCCCGTGGTGCGGCGCGTGTCCAAGTCCAGCTGCCGGCAGCGCGCGCGCGCCGGGCCCGCGCCGCACCATCACAACGCCGCCACCGCCGAGGAGGTCGCCTTCAGTCGCCTCATGGCCACGCTCTCCGTACTCTTCATGATCTGCTGGCTGCCGCAGATGGTGAGTCTTTCCTTCAACTAACAAACTCCCTGCCCTAAGTTAATAAACCTATTTCTGTGTCGAACTTGTATGACGTGGCAATTGGGCGCCATATCCAAATGTTGAAACGTCGCTCGATAGTGGCAGCGGTTCGTAATGTGTTGTCGTTTATACTGACATTTCAATAGGCCTGCTTTGACAGCTACTCTGGCTACAATTAAATACTTGGCGGCTGTCATCCGGTTCATCCGACGCGGTGCCGCCCAGCTCACGGCTCACTCGCCTGCATTTATATTCCGCGCGTGTCCTCGCAGCTCGCGCAGTGGGTGACAGACAGTGACTGACACCTGGTGCCGACCTTGAGCTCGGAGTACAGCCGGTACTACCGCGTGTAACGTCCGCGAGATGCAGTGACTCACCGCAGCGATGCGGTACGAGCACTGCTTCGCCTGCAACTTTGTACTTTTCTCATTTGGCATGAGATCGGTTTCATAACAGCCGCAGGAAATAATGTGTAGTTTGTTTTGTACAATATACATATTCGAAATAAACTGCATAGTTGATAATTTAAAACAATGAAACATAGTTGTTAACTACGAATGCCAATTTCTTAATATATGTACAACTATCTATCTAATGCTCACAAATAACAGTGGTTCCCAAAGTTGTCTGGACTACGACTCATGTAAATCAAGTTCCCAAACTCATGACCCGCCTTCGGGGAATTAAACCGTAACCAATTTGAGAAACAACACACAGAAACGGATGGTTAGTGCATCTACAGACAGATAAGCCCACTAAAAATTAGCTTGAGACCCACCAATAGTAGGTGCCCATAGTTTGGAAAACCCTGCTATAGATATTTTGAAGCCAATTTGAGAAACCCTGACGATTATCACATGACATTAGATTTATATCTGTGACTAACGGCGACTAATGGCCAGCTGGCCATACTGGCAGAGTTCGTCGATATTTACCTAAATATCGATGAACTCTTGTACAACAAATTCAGTACATGCTGATGTTACCACCGACCTATGATTGGTTATTAGAAGTTAAGTACTTATTTAGTTCCTAAGCTGCGGAAGACTTGGTGGGTTGCCGGGGTTCCGGATCGAACCAGAAATAGGAACCGAGTGGTATTTAATCATCAAGAGTATGCCACGCTCTATTATTTTACTTAAGGTGGGAGAAGTTGAAAGATTTTCCCCCTCAAAGAATAAGGTGTTACTTAGTCATAAACAAACAATAAATGTAAACAATCAGCAGTTGATATTATTAGCGCTGACATGTCATCGGCGCATCAATATTCAGGAGCAACGACAGAATTGAACATTGTAAGCAATGAAGCATGCATCGACTGGCGATGTGTCCCACAGTCTCAGTGTATGTAGTGTACTACATCTGTGTGTAGTGTGGACTGTGGACTACCACTGCCTGGTACTTCGCCGAGCGCCCGCATTACAACTAAATGTCTTATCAAAACGAAAGCACGAAGGAGAAACCAAAACACCAGAGTAACACCTACTCCACGTGATTTATTGCAGATCTGTAGCATTGTCCAACAACAACATTCCTATTCCCCTACTCTGTGCAATTAGCATGCAACACACGTCGCAAACATTGGCGAAAAATATTTCATTGTTTCTCAAATGGTAAACGAATTAAATTAGAATTTTATTCATATGAGCCTACAACGACGTCCGTATACAGAACTAGTGCCCACTTCATACATTAGACAATTATATTCCAGAGAAGGCACACGCAATAAACACATACGCTTACTTAATTCCAATTGCCTCTTTACATCAAATTCCCTGGTTATACGAATAGGTATCTGTCTGTGCTGTACCGCTGTCTTCACCTTCTTACACACTTCTTCTCGTCTTCTTAGCGATCTGTGAGTACGTGATAGAATAATGTTTTATTGAGCAATGCGTATACCGCTCGTATTCTTTACCGCACCTAGGCAGTTTCCGTAATTCCGTACGACTAGGCAATTCTATAAGATTTCATTTCGAACTGTCGAAGTGTTCGGTTCGGTTCAAGAGTTCGACTTCTTACAGAATAGCCTAGCTGGTATGTGTCGCTAAAAAGCAGAATAATTAACACCTTCTAGAGACAGCAGTACCTAGGTACTCAAGTTCTCTAACATTTAACTAATTATTGTAAAATTTAACTTTATATGCCGAACACAGGAGGCGATGTATGTGGGACTATTTTTTATAATTACTATCATCTGTAACAACCATACTTCGTGGAAATAAACGTTCTTATTCTTATTCTAGTTTTTCTGATTACAAAACTGACGAATCTGGTTTCTAAAAGAAAAGGCAGTCGACGTCCGATTTGGTTCGGTTCCGTCAAATCCTGCAGATAAAAATAGCAAGTAGCAGCGGGACTCCATCGACATGTCGTCTATTACCTTTTATAAAAATTGAGATCGATTATTTTAACTTCTCTTGTCTCCCTCTCCGTGGCATGTTGGCAATGTTGGCATTTTAAAAACATTGCCGGCTGCGCATTAAAGCCGGCTCCACACGCTTGGATATTGCATAGAATTACCTACGGGAAAAGTATGAAATAATGAGAGTATGTGTTGAATACTGTATTTTAGAGATTACCAGCCATAGAGTCATATCTTCAGTGCGTAATACGGTACAACTGTGCATAAATTATGCTGAAGTAGGTAGTTGTGTTCGAGACTGCCTCGGTGATCGGGCACGCGGCGTCGGCGCCGTCGATGTTGCTACTAATTGATCAATTGCCTTCATTGATGTCCTGTCGGGAGCGCTCAATAACAACTGCTTAATGTGTTAACTTTCAGGATTTCATAGTATACAAATATTATTATGAATGTGCTGTGTGCTATGACAATTAAAAATAGAATGTTTGTAAGTTTTTCTGTTATTTGAAATTAAGTACATCCGATGTTATGTTTAACTATAATGGAGATGGAGGAGATATAGGATGGAGGCGGATATGTACATCCAGTGTCCTATTGCGCACACTCCCAAACCACGTGGACGAGTACCTGCAGTAAATAACACGATGTGATGGTGATTCTGCTCTGCTCCGCAGCTGACGTCGGCGCTGTTCCTGGGGCTGGGCCCGCGCACGTGGCCGCGTCTGTCCCCGCTCTCGATCCTCTCCGACATCCTCATGCTGCTCAACTACGTGCTCAACCCCATCCTCTACGTGCTCATGCGGCAGCGGAGGCGGTTGTCACTCACCAACCTCTGTCACTCCATCGCGCACTGCTTTAAGCGAGTAAGTGCTATGTTTCCCGTGTTCCCCTTGTTCTGTTTAGTGCAATGCTAATAATAAGGACCAGTCGATCTGAAAGTGAACCACGAATTCAATGGCTGCAAATGTAATGAATAATCGATACGACCAACAGGACACGACACGATGAGTGCATCACGCAGACACTGTTCTACAAGCTTTTATTTAGATGGTGGTAGAGAAATCAATTATAGATACCTGCCCAGTAGTTGTTAGGTATCCACGGTGGAAAGACGTTAATTAAGTTTTGTACACCAACAGAGCCATAAAACGTCGACGGAGTCAGTGTCGATGAAGGCGTCGTGCTGCCCACAAGAGACACTGGTGGTGAGCGACAGCTCGGGCGCGGAGATGCGGCCTCTGCGGGCGCCCGTGTCGCTGGCGCCCTACGACTCGCAGCACGCGGCCTGACGCACTCTGCCGGCGACACACATCAATCAAACGACAGATCTGATCACGACTATCTATTAGTAACAATAATCACTCTCTGGATAACGAATGCATCTCTTAGAGGCTGCGAGACACTCCATTTCTAGTAATAAAATGCGATATCTCTTGAGATTTCTGGATTTTACATTTAACTTCATACATTGCAGAATGTGTTAAGTATTATGTCTTTAAAAGCAGATGTTTCTCCCGCATTTCCATAACCAAAGACTACAATCATGCTACTGATTGGTACTTGATATTTCCGTAACACGCACTCGAGTCTTCACTTCTTCAGAGCAGTGCAGTGTGCAGTCAGATGCACAAGGACGAGCACGCACTCTCGCCCACTGTCCCGGCTGTTGAGACTGTGGGCTGCAGGAGCGTCTCACAACTCTGTCATATCTGCAGACTCTCGTGTTGATATTGCTCCCTGTCATACAGGCTATATAGGTAGTGTTGTAGATATAAGCAATTTCTGTAAATATAGTAAACATAATATTATTGTACTTATAGTTTTACAAATTGTATTTTCTATTTTTGTATTATTAAATTACTAAATAGTGAAACTTAAACTGTTTATGATAAATAACTATAATACATGGAGTACAGAGTGATATGCGCTGTGTAGGGGGCGCCACAGTCGCTACAGAGTAAAAAGTAAAAGAACAATGGTTACAGCAGCACCACCTAATATTAATGCAGATCGATATGAACACTTTCATCCCCACCTCCAGAATGTAAATAGTTTGATTTAGATAGTTTTCCTATTCTCCACGGACTCTTGTCCGTGTTATCGTATTTCCAATCAATATGATATACCTAAGTACGAGTGTCGGGGTTAGTTAGGTTTAGTCACAACGAGTCACAGCATTTATTTCAATTATACACACTTAGACTCTCGTTATTTAAAAAAATCGAAACTCAAGTAACAATGTGTGTTCGAAATATGAAATAGTTCATTTGAACTACCTACCTATAATCAATTAACATTCTTAAGAATAATAAACCTATATGATGTCTTCAATGAATGTACCTATGTGTATGCACAATAATACATACTTACTAAACCATCCACATAGCTCCGCAAGTTAGTGAAGTTCTGCAATGTACAATTGTAGTAAAAACACGTCGTTGTACCACTTCTCCAAGTTACAGAGTTGTATGAGTTTTAACTTATCAAATATAACTGTGTGAACACATAGGTAGGTTTTTTCACATCTACATTTCACTACCGCGAATAAGTATACACGTAATATGTATTTTATCGTCGCAAAAAATTACGATCATTGCAATTTCGCGGGATATCCCGGAACATGCGCCTATGACTAACTAGAAAAGATCTGTTAACTTTCACCGAATAAATAAATAAATGTAGTCAAAGTCAAAGCATTTATTTCAATTAAACCATAGTTTGGTACTTTTGAAACGTCAACAAATATAAAGTAAATAATAGTCTGTCAGTCAGTCCGTCAGTGAAATTAGGTGAAGCTAGGTGCTCATTCCAAAACGTAGATTCGAATGGAGAAGAACGAGCAAGAAACTCCATGCGTTACTCTTTTTAAAAAAAAGTATGTATGTAGTAACCGACTAGTCTCAAATAGTTACCATATCGTTGCTTTATGTACATAGTATTAAGTTAGGTAATAGATTTTATTTTCTTCACAAATAATATAAAATGAAATGAAATGAAACCTTTATTTGTATTGTTACCTAAATATATATATTGTATAAATTGTACAACAACCCGCTATAGGTATTATAACAATTATGCTCTCTTTTACCATAAGTTACACATACCTAGGTACTATTTCACTTACTACATTGGCAACAAAGTATAGATTATTAAATAATCCACACGCGTCGGCAATTAGTAAACCAACGAACATATATAAGTAGATTTACAGATTAAAATTGTGTACCTAGACCTGTACACCTGTTTGTGTACAATGGCAAAAGGTTGTCTTTTAAACCACTTGCGATGACGGCCTCATGACATGTCAAACCATTAAACACATGAATATTATGTATATGTTTTAAACTATTGTCATATTATTTGTGATGTGGACAGGAAATATTGTACATACGCTCTAATAGGTTAGTACATTATTTATAACCAGTCGAATCGTTGAATACAATCCTTAAGATACATCTACCAGTTTGTTTTATTTGGAGGTACTCAACCAATTCTAGTACTCTAGAGTTACATAACATAACATCACGCCTTTTATCCCCGAAGGGGTAGGCAGAGGTGCACATTATGCCACTGTAGGTACAATGTAACACCCACTTTTGCCTATTGATGTTATGAGTCCCATGTAATAGGGGGTGAGCCTATTGCCTTATACCGGGCACAATTCCAGACTCCGTGCTACTACTGAGAATTTTTTTTAAAACCCAGTAATACTTTGCCCGACCCGGGAATCGAACCCGAGACCCCTTGCCCGGCTATCGCACTTGCAACCACTCTGCCAACGAGGCAGTCTAGTTAGTCAACGAGGCAGTCGAGGCAGTCTACTCTAGAGTTAATAGTTAATAGTTCCAATTTACCCAATCACGTCTCATATATATGCTATGGCAAAGTAGACACATAATAATATAGGTCCTTATGTACCTAAATAAGTAAATACGTAGAAATTGAGAATATTCTCAGGTCTTTTTACCGCAAGCCTATTTTTATATAGTAGCCATCTATAAACAAAATTCATATCTGTGTTATAAGTTTTTTTTTATGTATCCTCCTTAGCACGGCTATCTGTTATAAACATTTAGCCATTCTCTTGTTTACACCATGTCTGGGTATTTGTTTCGAGGAGCACGAGGAGTCATTCACTCTCACGGTTCTATAGGGAATGTCGTTTAACCTAATCTATGAGGTTCAAGGCTTCTATATCCAGATAGATTCTCGGTAAAAAGTTGAAGGAGTGAGGCAGGTGTTTTTTGATTTTAAACAAAAGACCGTCATACCAGACTATATCAAAAGCCTGACTTATATCTAGAAATACAGCCGAGCGGTATTTTTTATTCTCCCGTGTGTATCCGATTGTATCCACCAACCTGTGTGTGAACCCGATCAATAGTTCCATGTTTTTGTCTGAACCCAAATTGGTGCCCAGGGAGAATAGTACCTACTCAGGTAATCTTGCTTCGTCGTGGTGGCCCGGAGGTTTAAGACGCCCGCTTCTCATGCATAAGGTTGCGGGTTCGACACCTGCCAACGGCAAGTACTAATGTGACTTTTTCCGAGTTATATGTACTTTCTAATATTATTTAGACACCACTGACTAACGGAGAAGGAAAACATCTTGAGGAAACCTGGCCGTTTAATTTCTAATTATAAGTTTGTAATCACCAACCCGCATTGAGCAAGCGTGGTGATTAATGTCTTCTCCGTGTGAGAAAAGGCTTTGCTATTTAGAAAAACTTTCTTTAACAATTTCCCAATCAGTGGTAGAAGTCTAATTGGTCTATATTTGTTTAATCAGCAAGTTTCTATTAGGCTGGCTAGTGGTAGTCTTAAGCATGGATTGAAAAGAACAACAAGAAACATTATGGGAGATTGCTTAGGACGGAATCCAGTAGGTCGTACCCCGGAGCTTCATTCAGTGTTAGATCTTTTATCTCTCTATAAATCTCTCTAGGACTTACTGTTTTTAATGGCAAACATAACTGCACACAATCGGTTATGTCATAATATAGTCAGAACTAGGCAGTGGTGCGAAAACGTTTTCTAGATATTCAGCAAATGCTGTTGCTTTTGGTACATCAGTCCTTTTGTCCTGCTTTCGAAGTGGTGGGATGTGGTCTTTTGGCCGCTTGAGGTTCTTGGTTGCACGCCATGACGCGTACCTAATTTGTATCTTTGTGTGCTATGAGGCGAAACAGGTAACTTTATAAGGTTTTGTTTTCGTGGTCCTTTATCATCATCATTCTTTTATGTGTGAGAAACCAAGTAACACCTGGTTTCTCTGAGGCCCATAAAATTCAAAGGCACGAAACGAAAGGCACGTACTCATTCAGTAGAATCATAGAGTTTAGAATCAGTATTCAGACCACAGACTTTACTAACTATACTCTATGCTACATGTCAGAGAAGACTATGTCAATTTCAATTGTCAGTTCACAAAGTGTCAAAGTGTCAAGTGTGGAGTGTGTACGACTGTTCGTTTACTAGCGGCTATAATGCCTTGAATGTTAAAAATCGTAGTTTTTTCTATATTTTGCAAGCAATATGTTGTGTATTGCATAACAAAAATTTAAGAATATTGCCGCTATTGAGTAAAATAGTTGTTCGAAGAAAAATCCTATTAAGATGTCTAAATGGTGTGTTTGTAGAGAAGCACTATAATGTTTAGCATTGTTTCAATTTATACAGGCCTCATAACTATCGTTCTATATAAGAAGTCTTTAAAAACTCAGAATATGATTGATATGAGTAAGTCGTATGTGATCTAATGGTGTTGTATGATGCATGTAGGCAATCGGAGCGCAGCATCCACGAGATGTTAAAAGACACTCCGCCGCTGCGCGAGTCCAGCGACTCCATCACGTCGGGCACGGAGGCCAAGTTCCCCACGTCGCGGTCCATGCCCTTCCCGCCCGCGTATGGTAAGCACCACGCCACACCACTCCACTTGCTTTCATTAGCCACTACCTCAATCTTTGTTATCATTGCTAATTCAGTACAAATTGTATCATAATATCAACCAACTTTGTAAAATTGATAATTTACAGAAGTAGGTTCTTTAATATTTATAAATGCACAGCTTCTGTGACAGATGTAAAGATGAATTATATTGGGTCCAGTGAATGAACACAATATTATACAATGCATAGTTTGACATTTATTTACATAATAATATAATGTGAAATTAATTTGACTTGACCGTTATTCGAAGCTTATTTAATTGAGATAGGCCTTCCGCTTCCCTCCTTCCGCTTTTCCTATATGTCTATCTCTTTCTACTACGTCACTTCCATTTGGCAGTGGTGGGGAGGCTTGCTAAGAGAGACTCGCCATTTTTATTTCATTGGCGTCTTGTTTCCCGCCGTAAACGGTTGTGCCTTGTGAGTCACAAGACAACCATTCACAAGTTGTGAAACTACCTTCCGATTTTATTATTATTTCTTTTTTATAAAAGTGATAAATGTCCTAACGGCTTTTATTACAATTGTAAAAATTTTAAATTAAATAAAGATTATTCTTTCGTTATCTATTATGGAAAATTCAGGTAATAATTGCGATTATTCATGTTGTTCCTGAACACTTCTTCGTATGGAAGTGTCGATCTAAACGTAAGTTTCGAAAACTATCTAAACAGGTACGTAACCTTTAGCAATAGATTGTTTGTACGTGAGTACCATTTTGGACCATGCATTTCTGTCTAATGTTATTGAAAATTTATAAGAATATTATTTTGATGTTGATGACCTGATAAATTGTTTTGAAATTGTATGTCTATCAAAGTGTGTCTTCGGATAAAACTCAAGAGCTGTGCTCCCAACAGAACTGTTGGTTAATTCGGTACAGTCTTGGACTGTATATTGCATACGTGGAATTGCTGACGCGATACCCTATGCTATAGCTATTGCTCAGAAAATCGGGTGGATTTGTACCACTATACGAACAAAGAACGAAGGTTCTGTTCGACTGTTAATAATATTGCACAGTTATTTGTCTGTTGTACCTAATTATCTTGCAAAAGTGAGATGACTATGCAAATATAGAACCGAAGTGCGTTCCTATTATATATTTTGTTGCTTTGATATTAAGTTTGAGTTTAAAGTTAATGGTATACTTGATTGAATATTGTGTGCACTTTAACACGGGATTTTCGGAACCCTTCAAACTGCTAACTGCTACATGTGATATGCTACTTCAAAAGTACCCTTTTTCCACAGGGGATTTTAGTAAGTACCTAGTCTTAAGCTTTATTACAGATTGTTTGCGGACATCGTTCTGAGATTCTCCTAATACTAAGAGCGCATAGAGGTTTACTGCCGCTGTAGAATAAGCTGGTGGCGTGAGAAAATGTTTTTGGCCATTGCAAAAGGTAAATATTACATCTACCTCGCAGGTAGATCCAAAAGTTTCGAGGCCCGTCGCAGGGGCCACAGCCTTACAAAGTCCTCGCAGGATTTTTGCTCAAGGTTTCCAACACATTAATACACATTCGCAATGTGCTAGCAGTATCTCACCTTCGCAAGGTGGTGACAACAGCAATAAACCCGCCTCTGCAAGGTGGTGACAACAGCAATAAACCCGTCGCCGCAAGGTGGTGACAACAGCAATAAACCCGTCGCCGCAAGGTGGTGACAACAGCAATAAACCCGCCTCCGCAAGGTGGTGACAACAGCAATAAACCCGCCTCCGCAAGGTGGTGACAACGGCAATAAACCCGCCTCCGCAAGGTGGTGACAACAGCAATAAACCCGCCTCCGCAAGGTGGTGACAACAGCAATAAACCCGCCTCCGCAAGGTGGTGACAACAGCAATAAACCCGTCGCCGCAAGGTGGTGACAACAGCAATAAACCCGTCTCCGCAAGGTGGTGACAACAGCAATAAACCCGCCTCCGCAAGGTGGTGACAACAGCAATAAACCCGCCTCCGCAAGGTGGTGACAACAGCAATAAACCCGCCTCCGCAAGGTGGTGACAACAGCAATAAACCCGCCTCCGCAAGGTGGTGACAACAGCAATAAACCCGCCTCCGCAAGGTGGTTATATCATATTCATGCTGTTTTTATATATTTCGGTCGCACCGAAAAATTGGAATATCTGTCGGAGTTGGTCAAATCCTCGGCAGAATAAAATTAGCCAAGTCAGGAGCGAAGACGTGTATCATCGCCCCGTCATTGATGCTGCAGCATTGACAACAAACGACGTAAGTATTAACAACAGAGCGGACAGTCTCCTGCAATTGGTAGACCGATGGGAACTTGTGAACGTCAGATTATGATAATAAAAAGGTATCGCATACCCTTTTTACAAAAACTGACCCTGGTTCACCCCAATGTTGTCGGAACGAACTTGTTGAACTGGAACATCTGTTCATCAAACATCTGTTCTAGAATCTCTGACACTCTGTTCAGAAATGACATCAGTCATGAACAAAATAACAGAACAGGTAGTTACGGACCGAGCTACTGAGCAGCCAAGCTTCCTACCATTGATATTTCTGGTCCAAGGGCGACCGCATCGTCCATTTGGAAATTCAGAATTTATGTATCATCTGACCGATTCGTTAATGCACATACGTGTTAAAACACATAGTATTTCACATTTTCTACAACCTGATTGTCTATGCAAAATCGACATTTCTCAGGCGTAGAGTTATTTTTCTGTGGCCCGTAGCCACGGAAGGTTTATGTGCCTAAATTATCGCAACGAATTGCTACGAATGACTTGCTTATCATTAGGCATGAGCGCAGCGCCCAATACTTTTGCTACGATTTTCCCAGACACTGGGACAATGAGGTGTCGGGATTTTTTATTGCCATCAGGACGAAGGCCAACTTCGGACTTCGTATGAAAATTGGGCTCCATGTTCTAGAAAAGTTGGTTTGGCTATTTACACAAAAGTCATTAAGCCAGGGATCCATGGTCAAATCACAAACATTTACCCGGTAGTAAAATTTCTGGGGTCATTTTGCCATTTAATGCGGAAGAAATGCAAGTCACGCACAGAACTCCAGAGCCTAGTTATATTTGCTGCTTCTGCAGTTTCAAGACTCTAGTCAAGAAAAAGACTCTACTTTCAAGCGTTTCTGAACCTACAAGAATAAAATCTTAAAGGGCGATCGCAGATGGGTCTTCATTTTACCTCATGTGAACAATCTTGTGTGGGAGGAGCCAGAATTATCATCTTCTGTCGGTCCTACACATGCTACTTCTACCTTCTCATTCCCAGCAGCTTGCACAATGTGTCAGATATTGCTAAGGGAGCTTACCTGGGCAATCTCTTTCTCCTGGGTCTCTGGTCAGAGCACGAGAAAGATCGTCATAGTAGCCAATCCTGAAATAGACTGGTTTGATATAGGACGACATCAAGTCTATCGCATATATCCGTTACGAAAGGGGGGGGGGCCCCAAGTGGCTCCACTTCTGGATTTAAACCTCCGTTTCCCATTATACGTTCATATGCGTTAACATACACGTATTTCATGTACCAGATATATAATGTACAATGTCAAGGCAGATCATCTGTTGAGGTTTGTGAAACTTTAGAGAGCACCAGCTGTCAGCAGAATGCACAAACCAAATGGTCTCCATATGCGAAGTTCCACTGATCAACTTATTTGCGTCATACCGAGTACATGTAGTGACATTTACGTGCCTTTATATCAAAACTACGGACAAGCCCTGTTTGGCGACGCGTTTTTTCCACATATGGAAATGTTTTAAACCCAGCGGGGGAGTTCTCTCCAAGCTTTTTGATTTCTTAGGTCCTGGATTATTTCAATCAAGCACACAGAACGTGCCTACTAGTAGTTCCTTAATGAGGGCGAGTTTTTTGGCGTGTCTCGCTTGCCATAGTACCCCGCTTCTTTACGCTTTATCACCTAGACAAAGTCCTAATTAAGAACAAGGCGGCCACCACCGAGCGTCTACGACATGACCTTGGAAGTGTGGAAACGTGAGATGTCTGGAATACTATTAAAATGATATTCTATACAATTGAAATCTCTTAAGAAATCATGGCGTCCGTCAATACGTTAAATCTATAGTGCAGTCCTCAAAAGGTTGCACCGCACCGGAGGGGGGGGGGACCCTCAGCTCCTATAGCAAGACTTTTGACTACATTTTTATCTATATCGGATCTCTATTGAATCAATAATTTGTCGTACAATTAAAATTTGTCACAAAAATCTGTGGTTGCTGTCCTTTGTTAACCAGAACCATATGTCGTTTAGCATGTATTGTTAAAAACTATACAATCAGTAACATTAATTTAACTTATGAACTAACACATCAGTTAGGTACTTATATTTGAGATTAACTGACTGTGTAAAACATGTTGTAAATGGTGATTGATCATGTCAATCCCCCTGTTTGGGTCATAAACGATCTAGCTAGATTCTTAGACAGTAAACTTATTAATAGTCTTTCAAGTGCAGAGACAAACAGCTGTTCCATTTCTCCTATACTCCAGGAAAAGATTCCATGACCTAACTTTCCTCGATATTGATACTAATAATTACCATAATCATAATGACGTAGACGTACTAGTTTTTCGGTCGGCTTTTAGATCAAAAACTGATTCTGTTGATTAAATGGATAATAATAAATTAGCTTTCACGCACGACTTTGCCCGTGTATTTCTACCATGGGAGCATTTAATCGGGATATATCACCGAAGTCGGCCCATACCCAGCCTGTATACCAAATTTCTAAAGCTCAGATCCAGTCCAATGGACTAAGCATACCATAAGAGGCATAACTTAATGGCGTAAGCTGTGATGTTATGTGTCAATTTTGAAAATAATGCAAATTTCTTAAACCGACATAGAAAAATTTAATTGCGGTCAGGATAAAGTTCCTTCTTGGTGGTAACCGATATTAAGATATCAGTAATCCCCCAAGATATCCTGAGGGTTTCAGATCAGCTGTGATCTGAAAAAATTTAGTGGATAGTTATCCTTTTGAGGCGATCCTTTCTAAGATGTGTGTGCCTTTGTATGTCACCTTTTTATTCAATACAGACGATTAGAAAATTAGAAACGAGGCAATAAAATACCTCAGAAATATATAACATCTGTTTTTGTTCAGATCAAATACAATTATTATTGAAAAAATTAAAAATAACAGGTTTTCTATTCAATACCTTTCATCAAAACATGTATATGTTTTTAGATATTTGCTATTTTTCTTAGTTTTTCTATTCTGTGATTTTACCACATCATACCAGGTAGTACGACTGCGGTCAACGCAGTCATACTACCTCACATTGGCGTCTGTCACTTCCACCAGGCGATAACAAACACGTCTCAATTAAATAAGCTTCGAATAACGGTCAAGTCAAATTAATGGAAGCGTTTTACCTACCAATAAAACGCATATTAATTTACTTACCTTATTCGAAGCTTATAGTCAAGCTCTGCCTGGTAATGAGACTCAATGAAATAAAAATGGCGAGTCTCTCTTAGCAAGCCTCCCCACCACTGCCAAATGGAAGTGACGTAGTAGAAAGAGATAGACATATAGGAAAAGCGGAAGGAGGGAAGCGGAAGGCCTATCTCAATTAAATAAGCTTCGAATAAGGTAAGTAAATTAATATGCGTTTTATTGGTAGGTAAAACGCTTCCATTTTTAGAACAGCCTCTTTGATTCTATAATGCACATTATATCTATATTATTTTAAATGATGGAATAAAAATTGACAAAATTAGTTAACAAACAGAGACTTCCTCAATGTATGAATTCTATAATTGCATTGAACTCACAATTTGATTTAATAACACAATTTTTTTCTTCATTTTGGCAACTGAGTGTCAATACAGTGTATTGTGCACTTAAAAGTAGGCTGATGCCTTAGTCTTGTCAAAGATTAAAAGGCGCAGCCTACTACAGACTTTTAGTTAACACATTAAGCACCATGGGGGTCACCGGAGACCGACGTTAGCGGAGGACCTTCAACAGTTTTTTATTGGTAGTCAAAATCTTAATTGAGTCTCACAATAGTTATTATAAAAACTAGTATATTTCTCAAATTGCCACTAAACTCTTGTTTGTTCAGTAGGTATAGTACACTCAAGTAAGGGTGGTAAATACTTTATTGTAGAGAAAAAATAAGAATAGATATGTGTAGAAAGCATAGTCAGGGAGTCTCCGTAACCCGTTTGTTGTGAATGGAGATGTTGAAATAACGTGTAATGTTGCGCCAGCGCCCCCGGACGTGTCCCAGAATGGCGCCGGCTCCAGCACGCTGCTCCGCGCCGGCTCGTCCAAGCTGGACGCCATCCGGAACTGGGGCGTCTCCACATACAAGTGCACCAAACAGATACTCTATGAGAAGCTCGGCAAAAGCTCACGGACTGTGGATACGGGTGAGGACTGCAGCTATATACTATTCTACATTAGATAACAAATCTTGCTTTCAATTTATACAAAAACTTTAAAGCACCATATCCTGAAAATTGAAATATTTTCATTCTATGCAAAATCTCTAATTTACGAAACAGTACTCACCTACTGTTAATTAATGTAATGGAATGAATTTCCGATTTCTATGAGCTTGCATTGTTTTTTATTCACACACGGACTGCTTAAAGCATTCGGGGTCGACTGCTTCAAGCTGTGACTACATCGGGGCTCCTACGTACGTACATAATTATGTATGTACGTACATACGTAGGAGCCCCGATGTAGCCGGGTCTACACGGTCGAGCAGTCCGTGTAGCCCGTAGTCCCGAGTCGATGATGTCGTGGCGCGCAGAGCTGGAGGCCCAGATCGAGATGTTGCGCGAGACGCAGCGCAAGTACGCGGGCGTGCTGCGCCTGTCGGGGGCACTGACCTCGCAGCTGGCGGCGGCGGCGGGCACGCAGCGCGCGCTGGGCGAGTGCTTCGCGGAGCTGGCGCAGAAGTCGCCGGAGCTGCAGACGCAGTTCCTGTACAACGCGGACACGCAGCGCACGCTGACGCGCAACGCGGACTCCTTGCTGGCCGCGCTGCACTTCTTCAACAACTCGCTCGCCACGCTCACGCACAAGACCATCGAGGACACGCTGCTCACCATCCGCCAGTACGAGGCCGCCAGGTGACCGCGACGTCTGTAGTCTCGAGTGATCGGTGACGACTGGATGTTATAATTATTGTTGTATTGTGACTATGTTAAATTGAGACATTTTTTCATAAACTGAGTGGCCGAGTGGTCGCAAGTGTGACTGCCGGGCAAGGGGTTTCGGGTTCGTTTCCTGGGTAGGGCAGAATATTACTTTTTTTTTTAATTCTCAGGAGTACCATGAAGCCTGGATTTGGGCCTGGTATATGGCAATAAGCTCATCCACTATTACATAATGGGACTCATAATATACCTAAATAGTGAAAAAAGGGTTTTACACTGACATTAAGTAGTGTAATATGCACCTTTGCTTAACAATACATTACAATTACAATACATACAATAGTAAGTAGTGATATTTGATGAGCGAGTATTTGAAGTGTGACGTGTGTCGTGTGGCAGGGTGGAGTACGACGCCTACCGCAGCGAGCTGGAGGCCAGCGGAGGCAACCCGCCAGAACTATTGCTCGCCAACATCGAGCGACATCGCCGACACTACGAGCGACTGCGGGACGACTCCGCCGTCAAACTCAAGCTGCTGCACGAGAACCGAGTCAGTACCACCCGGTCCCCCCTG